TTTTTTTTTTACTTAGATAAATAAATTATTGGTACAAATTGTATTTAGATAATCATGTACATTTGTGTATGATCGTTGAAGGCGTATTGCAGTGGGTGATAACTTCTTATTTTATTTTTTTATGTTAGTTATACAAAGAAAAGTAATTTTTTTTTATTTTTTATTTTACTTTATTCATATATCATGTGATTTGAAATTAAAACCTTTTATTTCTATCAAAAAAAGATTACCATTGAATTATATACGTTGTTGATTATAGTGGGTGATAACTTATTTTTGTGTGATTGATAACAAATCTGTTATGGTCACACAAAAGTAAGTTTTGCAATCCATATTATTGCATTTATTGGTGACAGAAGGAACAAGAATTATGACTTAGTGATACAAATACATTTTGGAACAGTGACTCACAAGTTAGGTTGTATTGAACTTATGAAAACACCTTTTTCCTATTTTACATTCCTTTTCTATACAATGTAGTCTCATATTTAGATATTGGAGAAAACCAAATTAATGATTAAAGTACACTGATACAACATTTTGTGACTTTAAAAAAATCAATGAAGTCTCTAAATTACATGATCCGTCCTTACAAACTAATCTATATTTTGAAATTTTTTGGATTGTTTTTTTTATACAATTGAATTAGAAAGGAGAGATGAAGTTCTACACCTAATAAAAGTGTTTCCCATGGCACCTCTAAAAGGCATATGGTCTATAACCTGTGACAGAACTGATAAAATATATGTCTCATTATACCTAAGAAGTTTGTTCTAGAATTGATATTGGAGCTCATCTCTTCATTCATGGTATTTTGTTTGTATAAAAAGATAACAACTAAATTATTAAACAAAAATATGTTGTATAATTCACATAATGTTATATTACATAATAAAAACCATTTAATCGAAGCATGCTTTCTGATATTTCTAATTTAACGATTTTTATTTTATAATTTAATATATTTTAAACTGTAAAATAGGAAGCTTATTATTAAAATTATTGTCATACACTTAATTACTAATGTTACACTTTTTTATCTTAACTAATTGTTATGTTTTTTAATTCTTTAAGAAATAAAAATTATAGAGCTTCAAAAAAAGTGTAATACAAAAATATAAATAACAGTCAATTAAACTAAAAAGGTATAGTATTAACTATTGAATGTGCCTTAACAATTCACCCTAAAAAAATATTGATGCCTTGTGGATATATGACCGCTAATAGAAGTGTTAAGCCACCAAAATTGTGTTAAAAAATACTAATTTTGTTTGATTTAATTGTTAAAAATAATTAATAATTTATAAAATAATTGATACTTATTATTTAATAAATTAAATTAATTTATAAATTTATATTTTTAAATATCATAATAATTTGTTTAAAAAAACTACAAATATCAATCAAATTAAATACAATTTTGATGCTCTTTTTTTTTATACTTACAATAAGGTATTCTTAAATTAAGTTTTTACACATTTTGAAACTAATTTCCTAAGTGACTTAATAACATATATCCCATATTAATTTAGTGAATTCAAAAAAATTAATTTTCTTAAATATTAATTCTAATACTTAAAATTTAAATCTTAATTAAAAGATAACACTAACTCACCATTAAAATAAAAATCTTTTTTTTTTTTTTGGGTTTTAGGGGGGGGGAATAAAAATCTTTTTTACCATAATAGAAAATGTTAGAAACAAACACAGGGAGAAGTACTATACAGTCTGTACTACAGTATTTACCGGCACGCAATTCGTTTTCCACGCTGGCAATCCGCGCCCTTGCTACCTGGACCAATTAGCGCGAACTATTCCTCAGTGCAATACAACCCCTCCCTGTATATAAAGTTATAAACCGATTCCTTCGATGCTTCCCTTCCGAACAAAAAATTAATAGCCCCAAAAAACTTGTGTTTCTTTGTCTCCGATCAATCTGTTTCGCTAATTATTTCCCCGGCAGCGACGATGAGTTCACCGGTATCGAAGGGAGGCAGAGGCAAGCCCAAGTCCTCCAAATCAGTCTCCAGGTCTCAGAAAGCTGGGCTTCAGTTTCCCGTCGGCCGTATTGCTCGCTTCCTGAAAGCCGGCAAGTACGCTGATCGCGTTGGTGCTGGCGCTCCTGTCTACCTCTCCGCCGTCCTTGAATATCTCGCTGCCGAGGTCAGTAGTGATATGATTCTTTCGATATTCCCTCGATCTTTAATTGATTGATCAGTTTTTATAACTTTCCTCTAGGACCGGACTGGAGAATATTGATTTGGGAATTAGGGTTTCGAGTAAAAAAATCTTGGATGCTAGCAGATTTTTAATTGATTTTTGATTCTGAATTGGTCTCTGGTTTGTGATTGTACAGGTTCTGGAACTGGCCGGAAATGCTGCAAGAGATAACAAGAAGAATCGGATTGTTCCAAGGCACATTCAACTGGCGGTGAGGAATGATGAGGAATTGAGCAAGCTCTTGGGGACTGTTACCATAGCTAATGGAGGTGTTTTGCCCAACATTCATCAGAATCTCTTGCCCAAGAAGGTGGGCAAAGGGAAGGGCGATATTGGATCGGCTTCACAAGAATTTTAGATTTAAAAAACTTTTTTTCCTGCTGCTTTGGCATTTCAGATTGATTATTTTTCCTGTAAATTCAAAATTTCAAGTTTCTGAGTTGGATATGAGTTTATAATTAACTCTAAATTTTGTCATATTTTGCTCTCTAGTTTCTTTCAATACAAGAGGGCAGTGATCTTCCTCACTGAACTTGGATGAACAGTCCTTGGCCTGTATACACCCATCAGGTCCCCAGCTAAGCTGTCTGCAATGCTCCCTGGGGTGGGGTGTTGACAATATATACTCATTCTATCTCAAAATAATTGTTTTCTTTGATTTGGAATTTTATATTTTAGTCTTTTTAAATATAATGTAAATAAATATATAAATTGTTTTCAAATCTTTAAAGTAGAAAAAAAGTAAAAAAATAATATATTAAATTTCATAAATTCAAAATTGAGTTGTATTGAATTTTATAAGAGAAGTTTCTCGGCATCTATTTTTTTGTTTATAAAACTTAAATTTAAGATATTATTTAAGGAGAATCGGATTTTTTCCAGTTGAACTAATAGGTCTAAGTGATCCGCAGCTCTATTGGTTTCACCGTTTATGTGCTGTATTCTGCACTCTGACTTTTACTCATCACCTTCTCATGGCGTTTCCTGACAAGCCAACCATAGGGAACAGCCTCTATGCCTTGCTGAGTAACCTTCTGCCAGACAACCAGTGAGTCTGTCTCCACAAACACTCTTCGAAATCCTCTCCTTCATACCAATTGGAGCCCTTTCCACAGGGCGAGCAGCTCCGCTTTAGTTGTGTATCCAATCCCAGGCTGCATGGTGAAACCGAAGCACCATTGTCCATTGGATAGCAACTAATTGCTCTATAGCATTGGCGCCTATTTTGTTTGCAAGCTTTGCCGAATAAAGGGAATTCGTGGAGGCCACAAATTTCCAGCTACAGGCCTATAGTAAATGGTAACTAAAGGGGGCTTCCCTGGATTCTGCTATTCTTTGATTGTCAGCCTGTGGTGATAAAAATTTAAAATCTGAAACATTTGGTTTAAAAATAAACTTGTGAACACAATGGGGGATGTAGCTCAAATGGTAGAGCGCTCGCTTTGCATGCGAGAGGCACGGGGTTCGATCCCCCGCATCTCCAATATCATTTGCCTTTTTTTTTTTTTTGATGTTATTTCCCCTTTCTGCACATTTTACTTAGCCTGCCCAGACTCAAGGTAGGAGCAAGGAGCACATAGGCCGGTACATAAGACAGTAAGAGATCTGCCCTTTGATTGTGTGTTGTTATTGCTACAAAGGTTAGTTTTCTTTTTCGCTTTTAAATAGTTAGTTTATTGGTTCTTCTTGTCTTTGATTGTGTTAAATTTCCTACTCATATTATCTCAGTCAATCAATGTTTGACTTTGATGGGGTCTCAATATCTGTACATTGCCGATTTGTGATGCGAAGGGCTTAAGTGCGTGCAGTCTTCTTCTACCCAGAAAGGGGAAAAAAAAATCAGCTTCATGTCTATTAGCGTTCGGTTAAATACTCATGGTGATGTTTTTGCTGTGTGATTTTGATGTAATGGTCATATTTCAGTCTTCTAGCTAGTGCATTTATTTCAGAGTGATGTCTTTTCTGATTGTAATTTTGTAAGGGAATCATCTTTTTATATAGGTTTTGATATGTTGGTCAGGGGTGTCTGCCATGAATATTCCATAAACTATGTAAGACTTGATTATGTATGGAATGATGTACCAAACATTCAATTTTAGATTAGATACATTAGACTCAGTAATGAAACACCATATGGTATCATGAAGTTCCTTCACGTTGCTGAGAAGGACACTCATTACCCCGAAGATGGTATCTGTTCAGGTTGTTTACTCAAATGTTTTTATTCCGTGGCTAATATAATAGCAATATGTGCTTTCCATTCCTACTTGAAAACGTGGAATAAGAGTTTATGGGAAAGTAGAAAAGGATTTCTGCCTAGAAATCATAGATATACATCTTCAACCCTGGTGTTAGATGTATAACTGTCTGCTCTAAAGTCTAAACTAAGTCTGCTTATGGTATTATGCTTGTGAATGACTTTCTTTAGGTTTGTGAGATGAGATTCCCCCCCTCAATGGACACTATTGTTCTATTCCTTTAGTTTGTTTATCTGAATCAATTAAATAGGATGCTGTTGTTATGGAGAAATACTAGTCCCGTATTCGGCTTCATGTTTGATGATTCTTTCCTTGTTATCAAATTAAACATTTTCTAGGAAAAGTTTGTTGGCTTCCAGCCCCCTGGCAATGGGGACATTTTCTGGAAAGTATTTCTCTTCTAATGGTGGTCCATCTGATGCTCAGTTAAATCTTTTAAGAGGTCAATTAGCAACTGCTAGTTTTGTGTTCCAGTGTTTCAGACTTATAACTACCTTCCATTTCCATGAAACTTGTCTCATGTAGATATTTGTGTTTCTGCTTTATCCAGGAAGATATTCAGAAGGTGAACCCAGATATCAAAATCAGCTACCATGGTAAGCACTCACTAGGCAGATTGTTCTTAATCATGAACCTTATGCCTAGTTCATTAATTATTGATCAAACTAAGTTTTTTTTTTTTTTTTAAGAAAGTAAAACTTTCATTTGTGAAAATCTTAAGTCTAATTCTATCTCTGTCCTAACAGGAATACCTTAGTTTTGCTAAAAAATATGGT